CAATCAGGATTTATCTGAAAAGATTGGGGAAGGCAACCTTCTAAATCTATTCCAATCCATTCTCCCCAGAGTAGCTATTGGGATAATTTTGATAATGCAGACATGAGGACAGTGACTTTTTAATTTGTTGATATAGACTCAGAATGCAGGAACAGTGCCAGAAACATAGTAGGTAACATTTCCAGCTTAAATATCACTTCCCTGGGGGGGGGGGGCCCTCTCTCATCTCTCCAGTTGGAGTTAAGTTTCTACACATTTACAGGTGGGCACACACACTGCAAAGTAATAGATATGCTGTATGTGTTTATGGCATTTATCACAGTTGCAATTATAATGGTTATAAAGAAACCATTACATACTGTTGTCATTGAGCAACTATTAGCATAATTGTTTAATACTGTCAAACTATCAACTCTATGAAGGCAGCAACCAGGTCTCTTCAATTCATTCCGGTATTCTGAGAGTTAGGTACAGATGGCACATAACCAACATCTAGAACTTTAATTCAATGAGCTATCCAGTAACTATCTGCTGTATGTCAAGCACTTTCTACACATCTAATCTTCACTGTGACTTTGTAAAGTATTAGTTATCCTTATTTTTTTTTTTAAATGAGAACCCAAGGAGGTTCACCAAGGTCACCCAGGCATTACCAACTCTTCCGATCCACTCCTCCTGCTGCCCCTTCTTATTGGGCTATAAAGAACATTTTTCTCTGGTTTCCCAACTTCCTTCTCCTGGATCTACATTGACTACTGCCCCCTCTACAGTCTCAACTATACTCCATCATTAAACTAGTTCTTAGGATATTTTGTTCATACTAAGGTACAAGTGGTTGAGCCCTGTAATTTCCCATCAGGACACTATGCACTCATAAAGGGTCAGAGATTTAACTGTATAGACCTGGACCCTGCTGGTAGAATTTAGCCATAAGCTAATCAAGATCAGAGACATCATACCAAAAGGGTACTGCCTAGAGTGTTGGCCAGAGGATCTTTTCTCTTCTACACATAGCCCGCCTCCTCTGCAGTAGCCCCAGGGACCTCCTGCCAGTCTTGCCTGGTGAGCAGGTACCCAGATCAGGAGGGCTCCATCCAGGCAATAGCTTGGCGCCATTTGCAATCCCTTGCACCTTGGTTTCTCTCTCTCCAGATGAGGAAGTTCGATGAAATCGCATTCTGTCTAGCTCTTCATAATAGTGCAGACAGGTGGAGCTGTCAGGTCCTTAGTAGTGATCACTACTTCTTGTGTTCTTATAAGAATTAGTGATTACTACTAAGGACCTGACAGCTCCACTTGTCTGCACCCATTATGCATGTATGATGTCATTTGATTGAGATTTCTCCCCCCCACCCACACTGTCCCTGTTTTACAAATGGAGAAACTGAAGAGGTAAATTCCCTCACTCAAGGTCACTGTTCCAATAGGCGTGAGGGTATACGTCTGTCATCCCAGCTACTTAGAAACAGGAAGATCTCATATTTGAGGCCCTCCTAGACAAAGTTAGGAAGAGCTTATTTCAAACTCAATAGGGCTAGAGGCATAGCTCAAGAGGTAGAGTACTTGCCAAACATGTATGAGGCCCTGGGTTCAATCTCCAGTGCACTGTGGCATAAAATATGATCCCCATACATGAAAGAGAGTTTGGGAAGGGCAGGTCTTGCTTAGCATCACTCATGTAGTTACCAACAGGTGCCAGCAGGGGCTGCATCAAGGTCCATGCTCAGTGCAGGAAGCTGGCTATGAGCTGGTAGCTCCATGGACCTCCTTTGGGCCTCCCCAGCATGCCATCTTCATGAGGCCAGGCATCTTGGGTGGGTGGGGACTGGCTTTCCCCAGAGTGTGAAGCCCAAGTATACCAGAACTAAGCTGTAGGGCATTTCTGACCTAGCTTCAGAAATATGTGTATCACTTTCTCTGCATTCTACTGGCTGTATAAGTATGTTACTGAGTCTGACCTGGATTTAAGGAGGAGGGGATATGGATCCCCAAAGAATGTATCTACCTGCTTCAGAGCAGTGGCCCAGCTGGTAAGTGGCAAAGCTGGAATTTGACAAGGCTGGCTCAGGTCTGCACACTGAATCTCCATGCACAACCTATTTTCAAGGTTAAGGCCTGGTTTCTTGTGTATTTCTTTGAGGTCCCTGATACTACTTCCCTGACTGTAGGCCCTGTGTCCCTGGCCTCCTGGTGCCCTTGACCTTCCTCTCATGGGCTGCTTTCACTCTGCCTTCTTCTTAGGAGGGCAGCAGAGCCATGGAAAGGGCGCAGGCTTTGGAAATGACCATCTCAGATTCCAAACCCACTCCTTCTCTATGACTTTGAGCAAGTCAATTCTCCTCTGCAAGTCTCAGTTCTTCAGCTGTAAAATGGGGGTGGGGGAAGGTGCTAAGGACATTCCCTTTTGTGAGCTGGCCTGAGAGTTTATGTAATCAACAAGTAGTTGTGGGTGCCAACTTTTTGCCAGGTATTATTCTAAGCTCTGAGGAAGGGGAGGGAGGGAGGGAGGGAGGGAGGGAGAGACAAAGAGAGAATAAGCAAATAAACAAGGAAAGTGTACTCATGTATGTATGTGTATACACATATGTGTCAGATAGTGATAAGGGCTATATAGAAAAATACAGTAGGGTGTGGAGGGTTTGGTATTTCAGGGAGGGTATTTGCTCCTTTATACAAGGTTATGAGGGGACACTTTACTGGGAAAGGGATGTTTGAGCAGAGATCCTTGAATGTGACCCCCTGACTTTCCAGAGGGAAGAGTGTTTCAGGCAGAGGAAAAAGCAAGTTTTCTAGATCTGGAGCCAAGAAAGGAATAGGGATGTGTTAGGGATGAGAAAGGATAGGTAGCAGAACCAACGAAGTTCGGATCTTAGAGTACTTGGACTTTGACCCTGAATCAGGTGGGAGTCATGGGGAATTAGGGGCAAAAAAATGTTATCAGTTTCTGGATACATTTTGGGAATAATGTGCATAGTAATTGTTGATGGATTGAATGTACTGTGTGAGAGAAAGGAGGGGGGAGTAGGGAGGAAGGGAGAGGGCGAGGACTCCAAGATCTCAGAATAAGTGGGAAAAAATGGAGCTTCTTTTTCCTTTTCTTTTTATCTTGGTGGGGAAAGCTGTGTGGGGAGCACTCTTACCTGTTCCCCCTGCTGCTCTAGATCTAGATCTGGCTCATGGGAAGGCAGGAGGGCTCAGGAGCACCTCCTTGGGCCAGGCAGTGAGCTAGGTGTTTTACCAAGTGTGGTAGCAGTCTTGTAGGAATGATCAGAGATCCCTAGGCTCATATGTCTCCTTTTTGCTTGAGTGTGGATGGACACACTAACTAGGATCACTATTGCTATGTTACATGATAACCTGAAGGGTAAAGAAGATATACAGATAGGCCTTACCTAATTACAGGGCCCTTTACAACAAAGTGTTTTTGGGGCTAAGTAAGCAGAGTGCATCAAAGGATGTGAAGAGATTGACATCCTGATCTTGGCCTTGAAGATGGACCAGCCACATGCAAGGGCAGAGAACTACTAGGATAGGAGCCAACAGCCAGCAAGGAAACAAGGACTGTGTTTTACAACCACAAGGAACTGAATCCTGCCAACAACCTGAATGACCTTGGAAGCAGACTTGTCTCCAGAGCCTGTGGAGATTACAGCTCTGCCTAGCCAACAGCTTGTGAGACTTTTAGAAGAGAATGCAGCCGAAGCTGCCCAGACATGGAACCTACAGAACTGTTCACTACTAAATGACTTGTTGTTAAGCCACCTCCCTGGTTATGAAGCAACAGAAAACCAACACCCATCCAGTCCCCAAGGCCCTGGTGGGGAAATAAATCCACAGTAGGGACTGGCACCCTAAAATCATTTTATCTGATTGCTTCATAAAGATGGCTGGGAACAACTGGAAAGGGAAGAAGCTACTGTGTTCTGATGGTTGTCTCTGTCTACCTTGGGCTCTGGGTGTCTGAGAATGGGTGAAGACTGTGGTTGCTGGGGGTGTATATCTGGCAGAGTGTGTGTGAGTGCCTGTCATAGTGTGTCTCAGCATCTGAGGGTGTCTCTCATCAGAATGTCACTGTGGCTGGGAGTGACTGAGTCTCTGGCTGTGTGTTGGTGTGTGTCTGAGGGTGACTGTCTCAGTGTTTGACATCAGGTGGTTGAGGGGGGAGGGGCGCCGAGTGAGCTCTAGTCTGGAGCTGTGTGTGCATCTAAGTGTGTGCATCTGTGTGTAAGAAATCTACGGTATCAGCCAGCCAGTGTGGGTGCATGAGAGTGCGTGTGTCTGAACTTCTACGGGCTTCTGGGATCTAGCTTGTGGGGGAGGGCTGTGTGCCAAGAGCGCCCTGCCCCTATCTCCCAGGGCTTCTGCCCGTCCATTTGGGGCCGTCTAAGGGTGTCTGTTGGTGTATCTGCCCGTGAAAGGGAGGGAGAGGGGGGACGGTCTTCTAGACTGTGCATCCGTGGATTTGTCCGCCCAGGTGGCTAAGAGGTGTGTGTGTGTGTGTGTGTCCAGGCATGTTTGCACGGTGAACGTTATCTTGGTGGTACGCACGTGAAACGGAAGCCCCGGGCCGCGTCTCTGAGCGTGTCCGTGTGTCTGGGTGAGGCCTGTCTGGGTCGGTGACTGGACGCCGGCATTTGGGGCGAGTCTCAGAACGGAGAGTGGGGGTTGGGGCGCCGAGGGTGGGGGGGGGGAGGGGGGAGGATCGGCCGCAGGACCGGCGAGCGAACGACCTCGGACCGACACCGACACCCGCCGCGAGCCTCTCGCTCCGCGCGCGCGGGTTCACCTGCTGGGACTGGGGGCGGTGAGGGGGGGCGCAGCCCGCATCCTCCCGGCTCCCACGCCCTGCCGGCGGCGCCCCCTCCCTCGGCGGCGCCCCCTCCCCCAGACGGCGGCACCGATTGGCTGCTGCGCACAGCTCCGACCCGCCCCGCGCGGCCGGCGGGGGGCGCCGCGGGCCAGAGCGCGCTGCGCCGCCGCCACCGCCGCCGCCGCCGCCGCCGCCGCCGCCGCCGCCGCCGCCGCCGCCGCCACCGCCGCCGGGAGCACCGCGCGCCTCGGGCTCCACGCGCCGCCCAGCGCAGCGCCCGCCGGCCCCGCCGCGCCCGCCAGCCCCGCCGCGGAACCCCGCGCCGGCCCCGGGCCGCCGCCACCACGCCGCGCGCCGTACTCCGCGTCAAGAATGGGGCGGCCAAGCTGCCCAAGCCGCCCGCCGCCGCCGCGGCCGCCGCGGCCGAGGCACCGGGCGCCGGCGCGGGCATGGAGCGCTCGCAGAGCCGCCTCAGCCTGTCCGCCTCCTTCGAGGCGCTCGCCATCTACTTCCCGTGCATGAACTCCTTCGATGATGAGGACGCAGGCAAGTGCCCGACCCACCCCCGGCCCCCGACACCGACCCCCCCTCCGGCCCCCGGGTCCCCGACCCCTGGGGAGTGTCCTGGGGTCCGGGCCCCCTCCAGGGATTGGGGCGTCTTGAGAGGTGGCCAGCCTCCCCGCCACCCCCGACCCCCTTCCGGGTGTCGCCCCGGGGCGCCTTCTCCTCCCGCGGGACCCGGGCGTCTGGGTTGCGCCCTCTTGCAGCCTTCTCCCCGGGGACGGCCCCCTTCCACCAGGTCTTCTGCCTTCTGGGCGCCCTTGGCTCTCCTGGACCCAACTCTCCCGGCTCACCTGTACCTTACAGGTGCCGACACCCGACTCGTCTTTGGATCCCATCCATTCCCCGAGTCTCCAGTGCGTACCCACTCTTCAAACCCTGGCCCTGGTCTCCTGGGGTTCCGACGCGCCCCCCTTCCCTTCCGCCCCAGCCGTTGGAGGTGGCGCACAGACCTTACCTCTCCATCTTTGTCTGGGTTGCATCTAGGGGCTCCCTGCTCAAGACTCCCGCCGGGCGCCCAAGGCCTCGAGCGTCCCCATTCTTCCCCTAAGCCCCTTCCCGCACTGGCTGGGGCTCCAGACTTCTGGTTCTAATAGGACTGGGGCGGCCGACCACAGGAGCCCGCCAGGGGATGGCCTATTCTCTTTCCTCCACCTCTTCCTGGAGGATGGGTTAAGGCAGTGCCTTACATTTGTGTGCCCCTCGGTGTGTGACCCTGACCTCAGGGGAGGCTCTTGTCCCCGGAATGGCCATTCTCGGCGCTGAATCCAGCCGCCATCCTGCCAGGCCTGGGAAACCTTAGCAAAGCCCCAGGGGCTAAGAGAGGCTGGAAAACCTGTTCTTGAGGACCTGGGAGCAGGGAGTGGGAAAGGAGAGCTCTGGATTTGGTTCTAGGGCGAGGAAAGGAAATGGACAACAGGTGGGGGGTAGCTGGACGGCTTGGGGGAGAGTTTCCCAAAGAGTGCAGAGATGATGAGTCTTCATTCTTTACTTACAAGCAGTGACCTTGGGCAAGTTTGTGCTGCCCCTAGCCTCCGTTTCTTCAGATTCAAGGCTGTGATGGGAGAGCGGCATTGAAAGTGTTTTATGAGCTGAAAACCTGAGAGTTTGTGAATTCAGTGAGGGGACCAGAAGTGTGTGGTTGGAGAACAAGATGGATTCATGGGCTCTTATAAGACTTGGGTTTAAAAATTGGATTGTCTAGAAAATGAAGGAATGTACCACATCTAGTCTCTGAGTCTAGGGCGTTCAGGGGCCCTGCCTGCTGGCACCCTTGTCTGGACTGCCTGCTCTCTGAGGGAGAGATGGGATGTTATAGGATGGTGATGGGTGCTTACTTGAAGGCCGCCAATGGAGAACAGAGGAAAAGTTCCCCAGGGTCTGTAAGAGGTGAGACAGACCTCTTTGATCTGTCTGTCCTGCTGTTGACCTGGAGATGGGTGCAGAGGAAAGATGGTTACTGCAGAGACATCTTATGGAATCACCATTTTACAGAACCAATCACTGAGTTTCAGAAGCTGAACTTCCCCCATGATGTGGCTCAGAGAGGTTGCTTTATAATTCTGGGGAGAGAAGGCAAGTTGAGGAGGAATAGGGCACTTCCTAAGTCAGTGGCCTCCCCTGGAGCAAACTCAAGAGACAAGAAGTTAGACTGGCCTGGGGTCTGGGGAATGGGGCAGCTGCAAAGAGGGAACCTGGGCAGGCAGCCCCAGCAGCCCAGACAAGGAGGTTTTTAGCCCTCACCTATGGCCTGGTGCTTGTTGAAAGTTCACCAGGCCGCTTTTGTCTCTAGAGCCAAGCTGGGCAGGTGTATGGGTTTGTCAGATATTAGAGGCAGACATGATCTGTTGTTTTTTCCCCCCCAATGTCATGCCCGTGCCATGGTCAGACACTGGTTATTATTGCAAACCACAAGTTATTGTCTAGGTTTTACATAAGTCAACAGATAAATTCATGGAATATTAGTGAATTTTTTTGTTTTTTGTTTTTTTTTGGTCCCGTCATGGGGCCTGAACTCTGGGCCTGGGCACTGTCCCTCAGCTCTTCAGCTCCAGGCTAGCGCTCTACCACTTGAGCCACAGCGCCACTTCTGGCTTTTTTCTTTTTGCTTATGTGGTGCTGAGGAATCGAACCTAGGGCCTCAGGCATGCAAGGCAAGTGCTCTACCACTGAGCCACCTTCCCAGCCCCCATATTAGTGAATTTTTAAAGGTGCATCTGATTTTTCCCCCCAGTGGGTTTCTTCAAATTTGTGTTTCACCTGGAAGAGAATTAGAAATCATCTTGTGTAGTCCTTCTACCCCCAAATGGATTTGAGGGGGCATTTGTATACATGTGAGTGTGTGTGTGTGTGAGAGAGAGAGAGAGAGAGAAAGAGAGAGAGAGAATGATTGAAACCCAGATGTGTGATATGTATGCATTTATATATATTTCTTTTTCTTTTTTTTTTTTGTCTGTTATGGGGCTTGAACTCAGGCCTGAGCTCTTTTTGCTAAAGGCTAACAGCACTCTACCACTTTGAGCCACAGCATCACTTCTAGTTTTTGAGTGGTTAATTGGAGATAAAAGTATGAGTCTCACAGGGGCTTTGCCTGGGCTAGCTTTGAACCATGATCCTCAGATCTCAGCCTCCTGAGTAGCTAGGATTATAGGCGTGAGCCACTGGCTCCTGGCCTTGGTGTATATGTGTGTGTGTGTGTGTGTGTGTGTGTGTGTGTGTGTGTGTCTGTCTGTCTGTCTGTGTAACCCAAGGTCATCCAATATGTCATGCAGAAAGCCAAGACTAAACTGAAATTTCCAATTCTTTTTTAGAACTCAGTAGCATGCTTTCTGTCTTCGTCTCTTATCTCTGTCTCTGTCTCTCTGTCTCTCTGATTCTCTGTCTCTCTGATTCTCTGTATCTCTGAGTCTCTGTCTCTGTCTGTCTGTCTGTCTCTCTCTCTCTGTCTCTCTCTCTTTCTCTCTCTCTCTCTGCTTTAAAAGGCCAGATTTTACTGTGTAGAAAATGGTTCCCAGGTGAGGCGGTCTCAGGAGCGGCTGTCAGCTGAGCTGAGAGTTCAGTTTGGGTCTCTGTAAGATCCTTGCTGCCTCAAGTTTGGGAGGGGGAGGGAGAAAGTCTTCTTTCATTTCCAGAAGAATAATGAGGGTCTGGTCAGAGTTAGAAGTAAGGGATGTTGTCTTGTTATTTAATTTCTCTTGTTCTTTTCAAAGTCATTAATTTCCTCTGAAAGAGGCCTTTTGCATGTATTGTATAACTTTAGAACAGCACCGCACTGAACTAATTTCTAAAGAAGTTGGAATAATCTCTTGGCTATAGTGGGCAGAGATGGGCTGAGCAGGGGGTAGTCAGGGCAGGCTTGCCTTCACCTGTCTCTTGCCTCTTTTCTGTTCCTCTTTCTGCCTGTCTGTCCTTGATGGCTCTGTTTCAGAATTCTGTCCCTGACAGGTGTTGGGCTTATCTGGGATCCTTGCCTTTGTTACTGCTTCTAGCTCCTATCAAATACTTCCTTTCCATCCAGCAGATCAGGCCAAATCTGTGTTCCAGATGCATACCTCACCCTTCAGCTAGTTTCCTGAGGAACAGGGAGATGAGACTTCTTGTCATTAGCCTTAAGTGGGACAAAGCACATTCTTGCTTTGGATTTAAGAGTCTTGGTCCTTAGAATGGGCAAAGAAAGCTTGACCCTCTCTTTCTGCACCTTTTCTAGCCACCTTCAATGGCCAGGAGGCTGGTCCGGCACTGCAGGTTGCTGGAATTCCTGCCCAAAGGACATCTTCCCTCTCGTGCTTTGAATGCATTTCTTCCCCTTTGCCCCTTCCCTAAGGATGCAGAGGTTTTAGAGAAGCAGGCACTTGAGGACAGTTTGGTTTTTTTTTTAAATGTACCTGTGTCTTTATTACTCAGCCTGGGTTTGTAATTGGAAAGGGGGTAAGGAGGAGTTAGACATATGATCCTGGTTTTTCTCATCTGTATGAGGAAGAACAGATTCCGCAGGGCCAGTGTTTCTAAACGGTTATCATGTGCTAGATGTCCTTCTAGGCACTTTAAAGGTTCTATCGTAATTTCTACCTCACAGTGCTTCCACATATTACTGTTACAGTAACATTCCCAACTCCACATGTGGATGAGAAAACTGAGGCAGAGATACAGGACTTTGTTCAAGGTCACTCACAGGAAGTGAGGGAGGCTAGCATCTCTGGTTTTAATTATCCTGCTGCTTGCTATGCACAGGGCTTAGTTTGGTACCTGGCATGAGGTACCTGGCATGAGCTAGTGTTAGCTTTGATCTGTCTTATTACCAAGTGAGAGTTGTTTCTGAGCCGACTGTAAAGAAAAATCTGTAGATTTGGGCAGGGAAAAGCCTGATTTTCAAAACGTTAGCTTTTATCGTTTTAATAGGGTAATTTTATTGCATTCTTAATGATTAAGGTAAGGCTAGACTCTCCTCCTTTGAAGTGGTTTAAAGATGGGGATTTGGAGAACTTGAACAACTGAGGGTGGGAAGCAGTCTGGCTGCCCATTTCTCTGCTCTTCCTAACCAGTTCACACGCACCACATGGACAGGCCTGCCACACTGCCGTGGGGTATAGCTGGGGAGCAGGGGTATATTGTGTTTCCAGCAGATGCCAAACGGGTTCTACATCAGGATCTGGAATTGAGGATAGTGTTCCTTAGCCCGGCCAAGTGTTTTCGGCGTCCAGTTCCTCCCTTACCTCCCTCCCCCCTCCCTGCCTAAGAGAAGGGCGGAGAAGCTGGAGTAGCCGGCTCTGATTTGCCCATAGGATGGATGCTTTGATCCAGTGCAGGGAGGAAGTTGCCATGGCAACACCAGCTGGCTACCCGTCCCTTCCTAGCGGTTTGAGCCACATCTCTGGGCTGGAAAAGCTCTTCATGGCACTGCCCTCTTCTGCTCAGATCAAATCTGATAGGGGAGGCATAGCAAATGGGACCCTCAAACTAGTACCACAGCTACCCTCCCCCCACCC